GACCCACAGATGCTACATTGTTGGATTTAAACCCCTGGTTTATTTATCATTTAACCAAACTCAGGAATGACCCGCTCAGAGGAAGCACATATGGTAAAGCGACCTTATTTTTTCTTGGACCCACACTGAAAAGCACAGGAATGCTAACGAAATTAAAATCAAAAACTAAAAACGATACATCTTTATTCTTTTGTTAAATTGCCAATTCCCTTGCAAAACTAAGCCAGTACAATTTCAAAACAATGAAAAGGAAACGAGTTGCTGATGAAGGCCATAGCTTTGGTGACAACTCAGAAGCAAACTTTAGATCTGCAGTGGATCCACACCTAACAGTTTGCTCAGGCTGATGACTCCACTTATTTGCCGGGCTTTATGACTACAGCATACTCTTCACTCATTGCACACCTGACAGACACCTGTACATCTTCACCTGCATTGTATTTTCCTTCTGTTTCTTTGCCTAGTTCACCTTCTGACAACTTAGGATTTCTCATGAACTTCCCCAGTTCCTGTCAGCAGGGAAACGTAACCATCCTGAATGCATATCAGTTGATAATCATTTCTTTTAATATTTGGAACGTCCATGTGTGAGTAGAAGGGAAAATAGCTTCATACTTTTGGCTGTGAAAATATCAATTCCAACAAGGTGAATGAACCTTGGCACAACCATGCTTTCCAGTTTGGGAAGTTGACATCTCCACTATTTTGCATGGTCGTCCTTTGAGCACCACAAAGACATTTTTGTGCAGAGCCGAGCACTGCATAGGGTAAGTGCTGGATGCTCCGGCATCTCCAGTCGTGAAATCAATTTCATCTGCCATGGTGGGCTGGGGAAAGTATAGCTTTTTCTGAGGGAACTTTTAGAGGGGAGACAGCGCATTTCGCCGGTGAGCTGGTCCCCCACAGTTGCGGTGACGGTAGCAGTAGCTGTGGCGGTGGCGAAGGCCTCAATGAAAGTTTTCATTCAATCTCTCAACTAAAGGAAATGGTGCTCTCAGTCCCTCCCCAAGTAATATGCCTTCCAAGTGGAGGCAATTGTAAGCTCCCTCCCCCAGCTCACTGATATTACAAATCAGAGATAAGAGTTAGCACTTCCAAATGGTGAGTTCTAACCTCAAATATAAACTCTTGTTCCATGTAAGTACACACTCCCTGACTACAAAGGCACAATTCATCTATACTTTTAGCTCTGTTTATCAAATATTTCCACAGCTGTGGGTATTTACAACAGATAAAGAACAGAGATGAAAATCTCGGCTAAGCAATATCTTAGCAGATGAGGGGACAGTGAGAAAGAAAAATAAAGTCCCTCCCCCTAGATAGTTTATCAAAGTTATTTGGGAAGCTTTGAAAAATGAATAACCCCTGAAAATCTAGTCTGGAAAATCAGACATGAGTCTCACGGGCTCCAAGTTAGGGAGGAACAACTTGGAAAATGAATAAGTGAATGGTTGCTTTCCTTGAGAAATATAACCAATGTCACTAAATTGTACATGTAAAAACTGTTCAACAACAAAATAAATCTTAATTAAAAAAACCAACAACCCCAAACTATGTATTTTACACTTCCAGCACATCTCATTAGCCACACTTCAAATGTTCAATACTAGTGGCTACAATAGTACACTGTGCAGGTGTAAGTGAAAGATAATAGTATATTGCATTCAAGAGATGCAGTAGGAATAAGGCACAGTAGACAACACCCATGATACTTAACAGTTAATACAACAAAGCTAAGAATTAGTTCAAGTACAGAAAGATTAGTTAAATGTTACTAAGTCTCTGGCTCCAGTAAGTACTACTTCCTGAGCTAGAGATCCCAAAAAGAGAAAAATCTTGAGAAGAGCAGATGATGACATGTTCAATTTTAGGTGGATTGAATTTGAGATGTCTGTGAGTCCTCCACGTTGAAATGGTTAAGTAGACAATGAGTTAGTTATAGGAGTGAAATTCAAGGAAGAACAGGGCTAACCTAAGCTACTATCTAGGAATATGAGCATATAGATAGTATGTGCAGCTCTCAAAAGGTAACAAGTATATTGAGAGAAGCTAATGCAGAGTCAAAAGCACCCCAAGGAATGCCAACATATAAGGGACTGGCAGATGAAAGATGTGTGCCAAGGTAACTAAGGAGTAGGTATAGTCCAAAGTACAGCAAGGAGAGGATGGTAACAGACACCAAGCAGGTCTCCCACAATACTTGCTCATCAATCTCATCCAAGATCTAGACCAGGGGTCCTCAAACTGTGGCCTGCCGAGGATATTTACCCAGGCCACGGGGTGTTTTTTGCCCCATTTTGCTTTTTACTTCAAAATAAGATATGTGGAGTGTGCACAGGAATTTGTTCATAGTTGTGTGTTTTTTTTAACTATAGTCCGGCCCTCCAACTGGTGTGAGGGACAGTGAACTGGCCCCGTTTTAAAAGTTTGAGGTTCCCCTGTTGCCTTTCTATTTCCTCTCCATCACTTGCTCCTGTTTTTGCTTCCTTCTTTCTTCTCTACCATTTTAT